CCAAAAGGCTGAATTTCCAAGAGCAACATTTCTTCCTTCTGCATCACTCTGCACTCAGGAAGGGCCAGCCATCCCAAGGACCTAGTTATCTTGCACAGTGCACCTGTAGAGATTACGTGATAAGAGCGAGAAGTTAGGCTTCCTTTTGGCTAAGGTTAGACTATTTCCTGCTCTGGGCTAAATCTTCTTCTGAAATCAGAATCAACTTCCTAAAACATACTACATTGAATTGAGCCCCAGAGACACATTTTTCTGCCTGTAGTCTTTTGCTGTTAATGGTAGAAAACATTATAAAATTCTCTCTTAACGATTGTCTCATGGGTCCTTGGGAGGAGTCAAGTCAGGAGAGATGGACAGTGAGTCTTTGTCAAATCCTCAAAGGAGAGGATGACCTGAGCCGGTACCACAGTGGTCAGCCCTTGCTGTCTGCAAGGAGACATCAGCAGCCATCCCAATCAGCATGAGTGCCTTAAAAACGAATTGATCAGCTTTGAAAATTAGGTGTGGAAAATTAATTGGAACCTGAGGATTCCATACTTTTATGACACAAGAAGCGATAGCCAAGACAGTCACTTCGTGAGTATTTTTAGCTGCAGCCCCACATTCTACCCTGAAATTAACCCCTGTAGTCCTTTTCCTCACTTTAACGAAGTCTGCTGCTTCTTGTTCTTCAGCGAGACTCAGCCCTCCCCAACGTTCTCTGTTAAAAGGCCGGGACCGTGAGTGATAACAGCAACCGGATGCATGTGCAGAACCCTGGAAATGACTGATAACTGACAGCTTAGGCGGGCATTTATGGAGCTGTTTCTTCTCCTTTTTTATTCATCTTAAAAGGAAAATACTGAGCTTTTGGGGGACATATTTTACATTTATAAGAGAACAGTGATACCATGAATAGGAAGAGCGTGGCCCTTGGATGCAAACAGCCAAGAATTCAAATCTCAGTGTCAACACCTGGGACTTGTGTAAGCTTAACTCTTGGCACCTCGGAACCCTCATAAGAACTACCTTGCAGAGTTGCTGTGAACATCGGAATAAATGATGGACACTGAAATATAGCTAATCATGTTACTGATTATTCTGACCTACACAAAATACAGGTCTTAGAAATGGAAGGTGACCAAGGATGGGGCTTCTTGCTGTCTCTGTTCGTTTTGTGTGTGCGCCTATGCATGTGTGTGTCCCTGTGTGTGTGTATATCACCTATATGTGTCAGACATCAGTTCAGGTGGTCAGGAACATCAGTGAGTAAAACAGACAAAAGTTTCCATCCCCCATGTAGTTTACATTATTGGAGTGGGTACGACTGGATGCTGCTAAATATTATGGAAATTATGGGAAAATTTAGGGAGCTGGGAGGGCTAGAAGTTGGGAGTGGGTTGCAATTAGGAATAGGAATTTCTGGGTAGGCCTTACTGTGAACCTATCACTAGGTCTGTGTTTTTACGGTCTGATTCCATGAACTGTCTTTTGAAATGGGAGAATGAGAAGAAAGGAGGTAAGAGTAGAGGAGAAGAGGGGTCTGCTGATCTGTCGGAAGGCATGAGTACTTCCTGTCGTATAATATGTGTCAAAACACAAACTTATATAGGAGAGTGAGGTTTTCCAGGTGGCCTAGTTTTATTTCATTCAGTTTGAGCAAACATCTTCCTGCGATGTTCTGTATGCCTCCCACCTTCCCAAATGATGACTGCTGAGAGCGGCCCATGTGGTCTGTGGCTGCTAGAGGAGGTCACCACTGTGACTCAGATCTGTTTTGGGACCATCATGAAGCACGTCCTTCTGGGCCAGGAGAGATGTTCTCAGCTATTTGCCCTGTGTTGTGGCTTGAGTCTGCAGTGACTCTGCATTCTACCCACATGTGGCTGTTTACATGCAAAAATGCATTAACTAAAAGTAAATGACATTAAAAATTGGGTTTCTCACTCATGCTAGACATATTTCTAATGCTCAGCAGCCACGTGTGGCCATGTGTTAGCACGTATACGGAGTATGTCCACTGTGGAAAGTACGATTAGCATTTGTTAGTTTGCATATTTCTGACTCTGACACTGTTTTTTTAAAGTGCCACTCACACTTTTCAGGTCTATCTTCTTTTGATGTGCTGTTTCTAATAGCTTACAAATTTAAAGACCAGATATAGAATTTTGTATATAGTAAGGGTATCTAGGCTCTACGATAGATGACCAAAGAGCTCTCTTATGTTCAAGCACCTGAGTTTTCATCCTTGGAATTTATATCTGGAGTCTAACTGCCCAGTGCCTATTTGGCTTGCCTACTGTTTTGCAGCTGTTCCTTTGGTGGTAAGAGAATCAGCCTGCTGAGCTATGTGGGATAAGAGCTGTCAAACTTTAACAGTAAAATTACACATTCATGGAAATGTTTGAGATCCAGTCAGTGATCCCTTATTTGGAGCAATGCTATTCAAGGAATGTTTAAGGCCAGGTTGTCTACACATAGGCCAAGCCCTGTGTCAGTCCCAAGAGATACAAACAAAAATGAACATGGCCCCAAACCCTCCGGGGAATCAAACCCTCCGAGAGAGAATGGAGGGGTGGCACTATAAATAAAGCTTCATTATAGTGCCCATCTGTGTCCAGGGTATATGAAAGTCCCAATAAGGGCAGTATTCAGTCCAGCCTTCTCACTGCTGATAGTGAGGGCCAGGAAGCAGGAGGTCAGGCAATGCCTCTTAAAGCAGCCATTCTTGAATGGAATCCTGAGGGATAAATAGTTGTTAGTAACATAATGAAATTGGTAGTGGGGTCAGTAAGAAGTGATGTACCATTGCTTGAACACAGACTCTGTGGAGTGAATAGCATAGAGTATGGGAACTTCTAAATTTAGTATTGATGAAATTTAGAAATAACAGGGAGCCAGTGCTTGTGGAGGTGGGCAGGCTTTCAATAGTAGGTTGAAAGATGGAGTTTGGGTAGGGGTGAGAAAGAGGCGGGGTAACAGTGCTGTTAGCAGATATGACTTTTCCACAGTTCAAGTAGTCAGCTCAGGTGGCTATGCAGAGGTAATTAGAGGGAGCTGGGCTGGAGGTGAGAGGGTTGGCAGGGAGAGAATTGCAAGAGTCCAAAAGAGAAGTCCTGAGGACCCGATGTGAGAGAGTGCAATGGGATGGAACAGAGAAGTGAGTCTAGTCAATATCGATCTCTAAGGGGTGAAAGTATTAATGCGTGAGGACAGTTTAGATGTGGGGGATGAAAGAGACGGAGGAATCAGAGGTGACTTTCAGCTTTCAGGAAAACAGACGAATTCAAAGTCTTTTTGCAAGTGCATGGAGGTAGACTCTGACCTGTGGTTGCTACTAGTGTGATTTGCACTGGCAACTCCACTGTCCAGGTTGGTGTTAGTTCTTCAAGACACCACTTTCTCACGTGCTAAGAAACCTTAATATAAACCATAATAAGGTACCACATTTCTATGACTTTATGACTTTAATTTTGAAAATTTATAGAAATTTGGCTTCATTTCTAGTGGCTCTGTTCCAGACACCAAAATTCCCCCAGTTCTGGGACATCCCTGGGGTGGACTCTTGAACCTGTTATTCATTAGGAACAGCTGAAAACCATCAGCAAAATTCCTATACTATGCCAACAATAACGCCAGTCAAATTTCAAGGTAACTCCAGGTTTCAGAGAGTTATGAATCCTTATTTGTATTTTATGCATATTTATCATGTAGAAATACTGTAATTTCCTTACTTTCCACAATTACACAATTCTTTTTTTTGAAGGAAGTGCTATAAATTATGCCCCAAGTCCTGAATGTTAGTGGAAACATGCTTACAGATTTGTAGCTAATCATTGTAAAGTAAAAGTACAAAACCAGGCAGGATGGTGGAGCCGAAGTAGGAGAGGAGCCAGTCCAATGGGTCCATATCAGTGGGACCTATGCTGAAAACAAGAATTCTCTCTAGTACCGGAAACACAGCTTTAAAAGAATTTTCTATGTAACAGTTTACAATTTAATGACATCTATTAAGCTTTAAAATAAAAAAAGTCTAGTTCCTTAGTTTATAATCCTAAAGAAGGATGACAAGTATATGTTGATACTTCAGTTTTTACGAATATATTTCCTGAGGGCACAGCTAAAGCTACAGAATAGTAGGCAATTACCGCTTTCTTCTAGATAGATTTAGCCACTGCTTCTGGCCTTTGACACTCAATATTTTTTCTTTGCCACCCTACTTTACTGAAGTGGATGTTTGGTGGTCCAGGAAGTTTTGAATGAGTTCTTGGGAGGCTAATCAGGAGGCTTTGGGCAAGTCTTGAGGCATGAAGGAAGTAGGTGCATCTAAGGAAGATGACAGAATTTTAGGACAATTGTACATGTTCAGATATTTTATTTGAAAAATTATGTAAATTGATATGCACAGGAAGTTTCCATATCCTTGAAGAGTGTTTTTATATAGGAAAAAAACCCCTCTAAGCTGATTCTTTGTGGCTCTTGGGAGAATTTACATGAACTATTTGTTAAAAGTTGGATTAATGAAAAACATTGGCTTTGAAGAGTATTCTTCACAAGCTGCCATGCTTTGCATCACAGCACTGAAGGTTGTTTAGCAACACATTGAAATATCATTATGAAAATATATGTGTATTTTATTAATCCAAGAGGATCTTTGTGACATGCATTTTAAAGAAATAAATGATTATCGTCATTCTATGAAATTTGTGACTTCTTAGGGTGAGAAATCAGAAGGATCAAAAAGGAGCTATCTTTTCAGGCAATTAGTGATTTAATATCAGCTGGTCAAGTGAGTTAAAAACTTTGTGTTGTATGTTTTGTTATTTCGAATGCCTTTTCTTCTTGTTGGGAAAGTAGTTAACCCCACAGTCTTTCTCCCATGGTAAATGGCTCTGAGGCTTTGACCTTCTCAAGCCGGTTTGCCAGATGTAGCAGATGGAGCATGTGTGAACTTTTGTGTGCCAATTCCACCTGGCTGGTGGCAAACCATAAGTTAATTTTGATTTAACTTTTACTTCTAGGCATTACAGCAGAAGTTCTGGTGGTGACCTCTTTCGACGAACTGCAGAGAAGGGCCTCAGAAGCAAGAGGAAAGATCGTTGTTTATAACCAACCTTACATCAGTTACACAGTGTCAGTGCAATACCGGATCCGGGGGGCAGTGGAGGCTGCCAAGGTGGGGGCTTTGGCATCCCTCATCCGATCAGTGGCTTCCTTCTCCATCTACAGGTTGGTTATCGTATTTGTTTGAAATCTTTTCAAAAACCAGGGTTTTCCATAAAAAAGAAGTCCTTATGAAATAAAAACAAACCATTCAAATGAAAATACTGATTTTCATGGAATTTCCCTCCATCCCATATTTGGTCATATGTTTGTAATATCTTCTGTGGCCTTTTAAGTATCCCAGGCATCATTTATGCATTCCTTTAAAAGTTTTCCACATCCACAACGATCCCATAACATTCCTTATATAACTAATGTATTGTGTATTTTCACTGGAGGGAGAGCTGAGTTCACGTCTGTGTTTCATCAAAGATTCCTAATGACCTCAGAGGAAACTAGGCTGTTTTCCATGTTGCCAGAGAAGTGAAATAAAAATAGAGTTGTTAACATGATGGGGACCATCTATGGTGTAGTGGAAATAGCTGAAGAGCTAGTAGACCTTGGATATAGTCTTGGCTCTGCTCCTGAACAACGGTGTGAACAACTTTAGTGTTTCCTAAACTTCTCTGGGCCTCCTCCTTCTCTTCTACTGATGAGTGATGCTAAAGAATCATAAATGTATAACATTAAAATTAAATAAAATATACTTATAAAAGATACTTGATTGTAAAGGTCTGTATAAATATTTGGTGTTATTTGAGGACAACATAAGACATGCCTTCTTTGTAATCCTGTTTGAGGTAATGCCATCAGTGCTTTCTTTATTTTATTGTTAATTAAATTTTTCCTGTTATTTACTTCACTTTTTATTAGCGCATATTTGTAACACAGAATAGTGGTGTTTGTTTTGGGGAATTGGTACATGTCCATAACACATCTTGGTCATTTTTGATCCCTTCATTCCCCTCTTTCTCCTTTTCCCTCCTCCTAATCCTCTTCTCTATTTCCAAGAGTCTGCCTTCTAGTCATCTGTCATCTCTCATTAATTAATTAATTAATATTTTATGCTTCTTATATAAGTAAAAACCATAATATTTAACTGAGTTTGGCTTGTTTTTTTTTTTTTTAGCTTAGTGTGCTGGTCTCAAATTCTGTCCATTTTCCTCCAGATATGTATTCCTCA